GACTCTTCAACCCCTCCAGGGATCCCGGGGACTCCCCCCTGCCCTGGGCAGCCCATTCCAACGCCCAACAGCCCCTTCTGCACAGAAATCCTTCCTCAGAGCCAGCCTGACCCTGCCCTGGGCAGCTTGAGGCCATTCCCTCGGGGCCTGGCGCTGGGGCCTTGGCTCCAGAGACTCATCCCCCCTCTCTGCCCCCTCCTGGCAGGGAGTTGCCGAGGGCCAGGAGGTCTCCCCTCAGCCTCCTCTTCTCCAGTCTGAACCCCCCCAGTTCCCCCAGCCGCTCCCCAGCAGCCCTGTGCTCCAGACCCTGCCCCAGCTCCGTTGCCCTTCTCTGGCCACGCTCGAGTCATTCAATGGCCTTTTTGGGGTGAGGGGCCCAAAACTGAATGCAGGAATCGAGGGGCGGCCTCCCCAGTGCCGAGCCCAGGGCTCAGATCCCTTCCCTGTCCCTGCTGGCCATGCTGCTGCTGATACAAAGACTCGAGGGGCAGCTTGATGGTGCCACTCTGAAAAGGCATCTGGAATGATCGGCCCCCAGTTAGTTACTGGAGCAGGCTTGGGGGAATCTGCCCCATCTGAGCCACCTGGGACAAGGTGCAGAGATCCACAGCGCTTGGCATGACAGGATTCCTCTGGCACAAGAGCCGTCGGTGCTCTTTGCTGGATAAATATTTAATAGCTGCGCTCGCTTTAAAATGCCCCCACGCAGCTGCCCCTCTTGTCAGGGTGTGGAACCGGGGCTTGCCAGAGCTGGTGTCTGAAGCCAGGTTGTTTCTAGTAATTCAGCAAAGTCTTCGTTGTTGAGTACCTCTGAAATAATGCCCTGTACTCCTCAGTAGTGCCAACCTAGATGAGATGTGATTAACGACTGTTTGGGCCAGCCCTGGAGGAGGTACACACGTAACGTGTGGTGCTCCCCGGAGGCTGCGTGAGATCCGTCTAGGGGGAAAGCAGCAGCTCGTGGGCTGAGGGACATGGTTCAGTCTTGGGGCTTCTGTGGGGGGTTGCTCCAGGATCGATCTTGCTTCGCTCTCGTGACAAACTGATTTTCCTTTTGCTGACAGGATTACTACAGCGGCGGCTACTACCAGGAGATGGAACCAGCCCAGGCAGCGCCGCAGGAGATGAGCACTGACTCCTCCTTCATAGACGATGAAGCGGTTGGCACTTCACTGCTTTTCCTGCTCTGGAATTTGTGTTCAAGTTCTGTTAGAACACAGGACCTGCTTGGCAGCCACAGTCCTGCCCTGCCAGCAGGACCTGAGCTCTGTGTTGAGCTGAACTGAGTTGGTCTGTGGGGTCTAACGCTGTGGTGTGGGCACGTGTGGTGTCCTGGTAGTCTGTTGGGCTACTGGGTTTGCTGGCTTTATAAGTAGGTGATGTTTGTTATTCCTGCTGAGCACAGGATGATCTCGTGAGGTGCATCTAGAGCAAACGAGGCGCATAGAGCGAAGATGTTGCTTGCTGAGGTGCAAACGAGCTGCTCTTCCAATACCTTCCCATCCTCTAGCACAGTGGTGAATTCCCTGCTTACATCAAAAACTCAAAAACCTGTTTTAAAAAACTTCCCATTATCGATCTCATCTAGAAACTACCAGCCTTGCTAGCAGAGCTGGTCGGCACTGCATAAGGCAGAGGCCCATCTGGTGCTCGCTTCCTTCGTGGGACCTCTTTATTTTAGAGGTGGATTGGTGTTACGGGAGGAGGATATGTTAGCAGCAAAACTTCATGTGTCTCCCTGGCACTTGAAAACGAGAGTCTCAGGAGCCCGAGGGTCTTCTGAGCAAGACTAAAAGCAGGAGTAAATGCTGTTTAAATGCGTAGGAAAATGAGATTATAACCTTCAGGCTAAGTAGTTTAAGATACGATCTATAGCAAAGCAGAACTCTCCTAAAGACAGAAAGTCCTGGTTGGAGAAATGTTCATTGCTGTGGCCTGTCCCACGCTCGGGGAGCTGAGGCTCAGACCACCCTCATTTAAGGTCAGCGCTGGTGTGCGATGTGTGTGTGGAACTCCGGTTGTTTCTGTTCCTCTTTCAGTTCAAGCGTCTGCAAGGCAAGCGGAACCGAGGGAGGGAAGAGATCAACTTTGTGGATATTAAAGGTGATGATCAGCTGAGTGGAGCCCAGCAGTGGCTGACCAAATCCCTGACAGAGGAGAAGACCATGAAATCCTTCAGCAAGGTACGGGCAGGAGGTGGGGGGGTGCTGGCTGGGCTTTTGGAGACGCTGCTCAGTTCCTGTTTCAGCCACAGCTGGAGCTGTATTCGGTGCTGTGCAGGCACCAGGGTCGGGGGACAGGGACCCTTGTGTTGTGTGTTGTATAATTAATTACACGAGAGATCCATAGAGTTTCTCAAACCACGGTCCCGGCAGGCAGGTGGTAAAGACCAGTCAGGAACTGCTTCAGGCTGAGGAATTTGCCCAGAGCAGTTTTACATGAAACAAATAAGGATGTGGTGGAGTTGGGAACGGTCAGGGTGAGGGTCATGGCTGGGCTGGAGGAGCTTCAAGGGCTTTTCCAACCCAGATATTCTGTGAAACGCTTCTTGAAACGGCTTTGTGCAGGCTCTTGTCGTTTTGCTGTCTGGGTCAGTATCTTTCCAGGCTTAACAGTTCCACCTGGTTTTGCTTTGCAGAAAAAAGGAGATCAGCCCACGGGACAGCAGAGGAGGAAACACCAGATCACGTACCTGATCCATCAGGTGAGTGGCCTCCCTCGGGGGTGGGAGGTCTCATGGCACTGAGGTTCTAGCTTGCTTTGTGCTTGGCTTCACCCTTCCCCTCCCACCCAGCTCCGGTGTCCCCGTGGGTCTGTGTGTTACGAGACTTTTCTGCTTCCTGCCCTAATTCCTCACCGCTGCTTTGTGGTTAGCAAGCGGCCGCCGAGGCCGTTCCGGCGTTTCAGGGTGAATGAAATGTCTCTGCGTCCCGATTAATTTGGGCCTCTGTCAAGAGAATTGTGCTAACTCCTGTAACGAGGCTTCTGGCTGAAGTGCTCCGTAATCCCCGTCCGCAGGGGCAGAGGAGGGTGAGATGCTGCTGAGTCAGTGAGCGGCAGCGCTGATGTTAATCCTCTCGATTTCTGCAGGCGAAGGAAAGAGAACTGGAACTGAAAAACACGTGGTCTGAAAACAAGCTCAGCCGACGGCAGACTCAAGCCAAATACGGATTCTAACACCTCTGTCCCGCTTTTTGGCCGTTGTCCCAGGTGACCTACTGTGTCGGACTTCTCTTGGCCTGCTGGAGATCACCCAGGCCCCGCGTCGAACGTGGTCTGCTCGGCGGGTGAGAGAACGCTGCGCTCCCCTGCCTGCCAGGAGAAAGGTTTAATGCGAGCTGGTCCTGAAACTCCACCTGTAATCTTCCCCCTCCCTCATAAACGATCATGTGGAAGGTTCAAATCAAGTTTTCCAATGAGCGCTGACGGTCCCGTGGCAGCCGCAGGGAACGTGCCAGGTGCAAGGCTCAGAGCTTTTGTCCTGTAGGTAACAGGGGTTGCTCCTCCTCCTCCAACGTAACCTCGCCACTGGAACCTTAGGCTGAGTCTCAATAAACTTCCAGTTCCCACTTTTCTCCTTTCTTGGACTCGTGGTGCATTGAGAGTGTAATTTTTCTTTTGAAAAGAGCAAGCCTGGCTGCTTTTTTTTTTTTTTTTTTTTTTT